TTATTTATTTAAAAAACTTAATATTAGTTCATTTTTAGGGTACAAATGAACAATTAAATGTTGAATAATGGTAATTATAATGTAAAATTACATTTATATGCAGAGAAAACTAAAGAATTTATGTTCTGAATATTTTCATGTTGGACGCGCCATCTAGCGGCGTGATGTGAGAACTATTTCACGACAAACTTGGGGGGCTCTCCGAGAGATGGCGCCACGTTTTCGGGTATTTTTTTATTTAGAAAAGTTGTGTGCGAGACCAGGAAGACCGTACTTTTACGAAAATTTCCATTTATATTTTTGAACGCAGTCTATGGATTGACCCTCTGTCATAATTAATAAATAATTGCTCTCGAATGTTTCAGCCCAATGACGTCTATGCCAAGCTTCACGATGTCCGGCGGCAGCCAGCAAAACCAGCACACGACCAGCAGCATGTCGTCGTTGTCGACTGGAGGTGGAATGGGTCCCATGGGCATGACCGTGGGCATGACGGTTGGGCCTAGTCCCGGTGCCTGTCTTCAGCAACGAGACAACGGGTACTCTTGCGGAGTCGCGCGTCCTCCGAGTTACGAGCCCCTTCATCTTGGATACGGTGCGAGACCCACTTGCAGCCCGACCCAACCCTACCACACGGCGGGCCTGAACCAGTACAATCAAAACACCAGCTCGACCGGTGAGTGTCTACCGCACTCACTGCACTCGCTGCTTGCACTTTAGCGGACGGACTACCACGGATAACACGCTATCGAGCCTGCTGGTAATGGATTATACTCGCTTCAGCCTTACCACGGTCTCCCCTGCGATTACAGTACCATGCCTCCAAGTTAAGTTGCCGTCGAATCAGATTTCTCTCACCTCTTTCAGTTATTCGTATTTTTGTTATTGTTAATATTCCCGTATTCGTGATGTCTTAGATTGTAAACATTCGGCAACTTAACGTGGTATCACTGTACCTTGTTACTCTCCTCGCTTGGCAATCACGCGATGAATTCTATGATTCGATGAAGCTCGCGCTCGAAGCGAACGCTCGAGGCATTCTCTGCTCGTGACGTACAAAGACCTCCCGCAAACCGAGTAAAATTGAACTGTTTAGAGAGAGTTTGTCTGTGATAGGTATTCTCCTGTACAGCAACACAAAGCGATACTGTACATTGAACTTTGTAAACTTTGGCTTACAGTTATAATACTTGGTATAGTCCTCGTCTATTCTAATATTACAATATTTTATCTAAAAGTTGAAAATTTTCGATATAGCGTAGTATACTAATTGCAGGAAGTAATCTAGAAGTGTCCAAGCTTTTCTTAGTTGTTACTGTTTCATATTATGTTCCCTAAAATAAATTCAGCCAGACAGTCGATCAAAAACAAGAGAAGATTCAATTTTGGTTCCCTTGACCATCGTGTTGAGACTTCTAGGGCACTAGAACTAGACCTAGACTTCTGGACACCTCTAGACTCTTTGCTTTACAAAATTCGTTTAACCTAATATAACATGACTCTGTTAACCTACCACGACCCTAAAATAAAATATCAATAAAATGTGAAAATAGCTAATTGGCTGATTTTTAAATGACTTCTAGGTCTGATATCGCCGGGTGTCAGCGTACCGATCGCCGTACCAGGCCAGCCGGCACCAGACATGGCGGCGCAATACTGGTCGCCGAGGCTGCAGTGACCGTGGTGGTCATCGGTGTCGACATCCTCTCCGTAGGCTCGAGCTTCTTTGACTTACGTTAGTTTACAAACGTTAGATACAGGAGGACGCGAGGAGAAGACGTTCGAAATCGATGAAAGACGGTTCTCGCAAAGGTTCAAGACGATTCCGCCGTTGTCAGAAATGGAGGACGACGGTCAACGTCAGGAGACTCTTGTAAAATAGGTGTTGGGTTCGACAAAAGTTGTAGCGCTTGAAGCAAGACTCTCTTCGCAAGGACCACAGGGTAGTTTTACAGAGACGATACTAATGTCGGAACCTTTCGTGTTCGGGTCTCCGTATTTTCATATTAATGGCGGGGGGGGGGGGGGAGTATTAGGTCGTCCTAAAAGTTCGTGTCATTTATACTTCAATTTCTCAAATTATTATGTGAAACATACTCTCAAGTGTCACAAGAAAAGATAATCTGTCTCATTTCACAACAGTTTCTCACCTCTCTCTCTCATATAGTCATTATACCGTTACTAGAAAATTTCTGTGGTTTTTTTATTAAATTTCAACACAGTCTTCGGCACGAACTTATGGGACAACCTAATGCAATAGGAGGCTAAATATCAAGTGTTTATCAAAATATTTTTTTCTACAAGAATTTATGTAAAGATTTATTAACCTTCAGATTATTTTAGGTAAATTTTAACACGTTGACTGACAGACTAATAATCGTGAACATTTCTACGAGACTCAAGTTTTTTTCAACATATATAGCCCTTAAAATTATTTATTGAAGTTTCTCAATGAAAAGCTCCGTCAGCCGTATATGGGCGACGTGGCGACCAGTGTTAACGCGACACTTGAAAAACGCTGGAGTTTAGGCTCTGTAGAACTCCTCTGTGGTATGAATAGTTTTCTTCGTGCGCGATGAAAAATTTTTGTAAATCGACGGGCGTGTACGAGTAATGTTAGTCTTGCGTCGTAACGAGGCATTTTTCTAAATTATTCTCGAGCCCTCTAATCGACGATAAATTGTTAATGCCTTCGAGTTGTTTTTAATCTTCCCAGAACGTCCGAGAAGCTTACCAAACTTGAGAGTCAAATCGAGCTTTCGTCGACCGAAGAGTCGAGCGCTAAACCGTACTTTTCAAATAATCGTACACGCCTAAGAGAGTAAGCATAACACTTGAGCCACGAACAGGTTTCACAGGAAGAATAACACGAAAGGGTCGGATTCGGTGGACTGATCATGATCACTGATCCAATCACTAGAAACCACTGTCGTTGTATACTAGAAGATTTCAATATTCACATTTTACAATTAAATAACGACAGTGAAAACCTGGTGAATAACTTTTTAGAAAACAAATACATACCGTATTTTAATAAAAAAAATGTTAATATCGAAATTTTCTAGTACACAGCGATAGTGGTTTCTAGTGATTGCATCAGCGATTACAATCAGTCCATTGAATACACCCAATTATCTCTAGGCGACTCTGTCGTGGGTGTCGTCGACGTTACAAAGAGAGATGACGATCGACTTCACGTCAGGGTACCCGTGTAACCCACAGCTACCTTAGTGATGTAAATTATCAATAATTATCGCTTGAAGATCTCTTTTTGCGTTTCCAATCGCGACCGTAAGTTTTCCTTGAATAGCTATCCAAGTTCTCAGGTCACAACAGATTTTCTTAACGACATTTCGCGTACATCGCCCTCGAATGTAGCTCGCGAAGGGATCGTTTAGCCAAGATGACGGTCAGTTTCCCAAACTTCGTTTCCAGTGGTGATCCATGACGACGCCACGACGAAACGTCTTTGTAACAGAGCTACGAGATTTCTTTTCGTACACGTTATTAGATGAATTTATGTATCGAAACAGGCATGGAGTATCTTTCATTTCGACGATTCTTAAGTATCGTGGACAGTGAAGGAATTGACTCCTTACCAACTAGCGAAGATTGCAAACCTTCGAGGTCTTCGAGGCATCTGTCGACCATGGTTCGAACGCGAGGTGCAGTAATTTCCGCTTTCAAGTCATCGTTTCTTTTTGGGTAAACTTTACTTTGGGGGACCAGAAATTGTCAAGTTTGTTTTTCATAATCCTGTAGATTTTTACTGACTCCCTTACTCCCTCGAGTACCTCGAGGTTGCTAAGCCCGTACTGTAGCTATGGTCAGATGTAGCTACAGCCCCCGAGGTCTCACTTGAAAGCCGGAACTGCTGTACAATGTACGAAGAAATGTTGAAATCCGAGAATATTAAGATAATAGACACGTATCACGTTAACTGTATTATTTTTCAATCACTTGTTACTGCTACATGTATTTTCTCGCGATGAAACGTTCTTGTATAAAGATTGTGAGAAACGAGGAGGGTTAGTCGAAATGTTTATTTCGAATGTACTCGTTCTTCGGCGCGAGCTGTTATTTTTATCAGAAAATTCACCGTCGCCCTTTCTTTCGAACTCGACGTTCGCTCGCCATACGTCGCCGAGAAGAAGCGACGTTTTTTTTTTCTTTTATTTATTGTAACATAGGTTAAACGAAATTCATATCCGAAATAAACACGGCATCGCCGTTCGATGCGGCGAGCGATCAACAACGGATTCGAGACGAGCGAGGATTTAGTAAACAGAAATTGTACAACATTAGCGGAAAAATAACTTTAAACATCGGCGACGATTAAAAAGAGGGAGGAGATGTATCGGTTGGGAGGAGTTAGCAATGGCGTCTCGCAGTGTTTTTAACCGCAGTTTCTTAGATGTAACCTCTAGGCCAATAAAAGAACGTAATATAGTTTTTAAGTCGGTATTATTTATATTCGTGTAAGGGACGAAAGCGAAGCAAGAGTAATGGACGTTTATTGTGTGTACATCGTAAAGATATTGACATTTATATATAGTTGATTCTAATCCCCAAGTATCCGATAAAGCAAAGTCGATACATCATTTATATCCGATGCAAGATTGATCAACAGAAAGGCGCGACACCAGGTATGTTAACCGTACGATTATGCATTCGAAATAAATAGTGTGTGCATTTAAGTAACAAATTGTTCCAGTACTTACCTTTCAATGAAATCACCCTGCGACCAAGAAAAGCTGTCTTCGCTTTTTATTTATTACCTGACACCACTCACAGAAAAGGATACATGTATGCATGCGTGGAGAAAGAGTACATAGATACCGTGACACCTGTCAAAGTGGATCCCATCCAAAGAGAAAAGCTCAAATATCTAAACCAGAGGTAATGAGTGCATTTAGTAGTAGAGACAAATGTTGTGCGACTCGAAGCAGAGAATCCACGAGAATCACCCGACAGTTGTCTCTGGTAAATGCATTCAGTGTTAGCAAGATCGAGAAAGAAAAATGGCGACCAGTAGTTTGCAAATGTAACAATCGTATATTTGTTCCGACTTAATAATTTTCTCTATACAGTTTCTTCAGAAGGTACTTGAATTTGCGCCTCGCTTTCGTTTGGAAAGGAAGGTCGGTGATGCTAGAATGAGAACAAATGTCCATTACGTCGAACGATACAAAAATTCGTTTAACAGCTCCTGAAGCTCATCTGGCTGGATCTCTGTGGATCCAGTCACGATCTTCCCAATCTTCTCTAGCTCTTATTTGCGGTGAAGTGCAAATCGAACGATTGTTCCAACGCAGCGACCATGTTCAACCTGAAATTTATTTACCTGCCTACGAGTAATGTGCAACGAACAACGCAGCTTATTTGAGAAAATTGCGGTGCGTCGAAATACGTCCGTTATTTCACACCATGTGCTGAGTATTCGAATTTAAAGAGGTACACGCATGAATTCGTCACGATTATTGTTAAAGATCGCAAATATAAAAACAGTGACTAAAATAAATTAAATTACATACTAACACTTCTAAACTTACGCTAAACGAGCGCGTAGCGTGACGCTACTCGTGACCACTCGCCACCTTCTAATTGAAGAGAAGACCGTATGGGTATTAAAACGAGAGGGAATATTAACGAAGCGATAAAAACATAACAGAAAGTGTTCGCGGTGTAGTTTTCCCTCGACGGCCCAAATTCTCATTCAATCGTTATTTTCTACTGAATTTTCTTTATTTATAAAATGGCCCGCGTTCGATATCTCATCGAACACTTTTGTTTTATTTTTCAAATTAAAATACGTCGCAGTTCGCGTAAAAATAAAGTCAAACTTCTATCGGAAGAATTCTATTTAACAAATCACAAGAAAGAAAATTGGACCGTGAAGAACTATCACCGTCTGCAACAGTACCGACATTTGAATTCGTTAGCAGTTGCAGATATTCCAAGATAAAGTACCTTTATATATATTATGTATGTACGTATATGTATCATATACAGAATGTCTCAATTTGATGTTTCCACGCGATTACTTCCTGAACGATCATGCAAATATTTCAAATGACGATTACTAGACTGCGGATCTATTATGCAATATAAAATATTTACAAATGTACCTACAAAAATTCAACCTAAATAGGAATTTATTCTACATATACTTTTTGCATATTGCGTGCATCCTGTAATTTCTTGCACATTTAAATTTCCTATAAATGCATAAAGATCCACTGTCTAATGATTACTCTGTTTTCTAGAGGAAAGTTTGTGGACAATGCGATTTTCCACTGGGTTGATTGAATGATTAAAATAACCAGGATAGATGATATCCTGACCTCCTGTACGTATTATGCATAGAATATGCGCGACTGTGCAAGGAATTTCACATTTGATATGCAAAGCTCGAGACTGATCTTGAGAAAAAGCAGAAAAACGAGAAAAGAAGAAATGCATTCGTCCTTGGAGAATTCGATATTCCGAAGGGAAACAACGCGGTTGTTCCCTGTACCTAAAACTCTTCCTTCGACCAAAGGCCATCGACTTCTCCACCATTCGTCTCGTTTCGAGAAAAGAATCCTCAACGCGAAATCCTGTGAACTGTCCCTCGACAGCGTGAAACGGAGGTCGAACATCGAAACGTACAAGATAGCAAGAGAAACGATTAAACCGAAGCGAATAAACGCTCTTCCTATCGATTTTACAGTAAGTATGCGTCCCTTGGTCCTCGGCGGTTTCCTCTTTCAAACCGAGTTTTTCTCTTTTAGTAAAGCGTCGATGTCCTTGAGGATGTCGTCGGACGCCATGTCCAGCGTCAGGTAGTCGTCCTCGTTTACGTTCAACAGGCTGTCGCAGGAAGCGATCGTCTCCTTGGATTCCTCCGTGTTGCGTTTAACCGCCGATTGCTTCTCCTCGTTTTTCTCCAACAGGTTCTGATCCTCGTCGGTGCTACTGTCGCACAGTCTGATCTCCACTTCGTTCCTCCTGGCCAAGTTGGAGCTCTCCGTCGACT